AATTCATAGAAAGTCTATATGGAAATACAGTAAGAAGGAAAAATTAGTAGTAGGTATAAAAGTAGAAAGGACAACAATAGGATGACGAACATAAAAATTTTCCTGTCTATATTTAAAGAGAATCTTTAAGAAAACGCATAAAAAAGGTTTATCGTTTTTAAAAATGTCTCAGAAGAATGTGCCAGCTTTGCAGACACCACAGGTGTGGGTGCCACAGGTTCAATCTGAAGCCCACAAGCTCTGTGACTTGATATGGGAGACCAAACTGTTGATGGGGGGGGGGGTCTTCTCCCGATATCTAGAACAATAGCATCATCGAAAAGGAAAATGTTTAGATTCCAAAAGTTAGGTGTATCAGCTCTCTTTATTACATTTTTTAGATTTACAGTCTACCCCTCATTCACTTAAGGCTATTTACTGAACATCTACTAACTGTCTGCATTGGCTGGGAAAACAAAGAACGAGTAAGACGTGGCCCCTGCCTTCCAAAAGCTCACCATCGACAGGGTGGGAAGGGTGTCAGTGCTGTCTCAAAAGTCGTCCAGGGAACGTGGCATCCAAATGAGGGCTTTGGAAGGGGTGGAGTGATCAGACAGGGCTTCCCTAAAGGAGGTGACACTTCCGGTGACAACAAGAGTTTTCCAGGCAGAGGAAGCAGAATGGGCAAAGGTGCAGAGATAAGACGGTTGGTTCAGAGAACTCAAAGTAACGAGTTCAGTTTTTATGGCTGCAGCACAGAACGGGAGCTGGACGCCTGGGAGGTGCGCAGGGACTGCATCCGGAACGCTCCTTACACCGCCAGGCCAAGCAGTTTGGAGTCTATCCTGCAGGGGATGAGAACTACCACTTAGGCAAGAGAATGCCAAGCATTCAACTCGACTCCAGGCATTTAATTCTCAGAAAGAAGTGGAGGGGAAGGCAGATCGAAAATAAAGACCCCGAAAATGGCCAAAGCTCCCAGCTAGTCACCAAACCAAGCACGGTCCTGTGTCCCAGCCTCCCCTACAGGTAGCTGTGACCACAGGACTGAGTTCCCGCCCATGAACGGCCAAGTGCGGTGATGTGTGCCACTGCAGTGTCCTGGCCCCCAGACCCCCACCCACCACCCTTCCGGAGTGTCCCCTTCTCAGCTTGATACAGAGGAGTCCAAAGACCTCATGTTGAAACCGACAGAGCCAGGAGATGGGAAGAACTTGGGAGAGCATGAGCTGGAAATAAACGTCCATTGTGTCTGAGCCATTAATCCAGTTCAAGCTGTTACAGCAGCAAGCGGTTCACCTAAGTAAATATGTATTCACGTGTTCTCCCCACAGACTTTGACCACCACTCTATTTCTTCTGCTCTAAAAATAACTGCTCTCGAAGGGACTTCTAAAAGGAATGAAATCTGCTCATTGCAGGGTAAAGATTTACAGTGAGTGAGCGGTCAGGTGCCAGGGCCAGGGCAGGCCCAGGAAGGGCCTTTTCCTCGTCTCCCTGGCCCCTCCCACCTCTGCAGGAACGGGATTGGGGACTGAGCCCACGCCCTCTTAATCTCGTTTGCGGTATCTCCCCTCCTGGCAGGAAAAGTGTTTTGACACCCAAATCTGAAACCTAAAGGCTATTAGGACTTAAATCCAAACCCACAAACATTTTACTATTCCCTGTAACACTCTGCACACAGGGCCTGGATTTGAAAAGCCTCTGGCTGGAAGCAAAGGGGAATTAGGAAAACTGGACTCTGCTGTGGGGCCCAAAACCGCTATCAGGCAAGTCTGGATGAGTCATCGCTCTTCCACACAGAGAACCTTACAGGAGTCCCGACATAAACCACAACGATTCACAACAAAGAATCAGCAAAACTGGAATTGAAACAACTCTCAGTTACAAACCCAGCTCACTGAACAGAAACAGGAACTAGTTGATGTGGCAATCTAGTCAGACGTGTGTACACACGAAAAATACAGAAGGCATAAAAGAATTTACTGTTAGCTACCTCAAAGATTCAAAGTTCTACAAACACAATAAGGAAACATTTTAGAATGTGCACTACTCAAGGTAGAAATCAGAGTAAGGTAGTTTAAATTGTGTTATTCCACTAACATTTTTTCAGCGTAACAGGTTTTATACCCACCTGAGAAAAGGGAAGTTAATTAGTAGAAAGCACCTAGTGGCTGAAGGGCTCCCTTGCAGGAAAGGGTTGGCCTGTGGGTTTCTCAAGACCCCACAGACTCCTGTGCTCCCACAAAGTGTCCTGCACTTCACAGTGACTCACCCCTCCCAGGCTGACCGTGACCTCACCAAGTGCAGAAGCAACGCAGGTTGGCCAAGGCCGAGCACAGAAATCTGGGAGTTCCCGTAAGTAAAGGCAGTGTGTGGCTTCCCGACAGCACCAGTGCAACGGGGTGCTTCCGAACTCACGAAGCCCCATGAATCCTGCGAAGAACAAATACACTCTCCTTTCCCCCCGCCCTCCCAAATGAGCTTTTCTAGAGCTGTGCCATGTCTAAGGACACAGACGCCTTCCGGAAGCCAGGGCAGACAGACTCTGCAGAGAACTCAGCGACGCCCGTGAGGTTTCTCAGGAACACGCGCTGGCTGTTGAACAGGATACATACGGGATCCTCCTTGGTTGAGTCCACCCCACTCCTGAATGTTACTGGCTCCACAGTGAAAGTCTCTGCCCTCACCCAACACAAAGGGGCGAACTTCAAAGGCTTCTTCCCTCAGATCCTAACCCACCCAAGGGAAGGAAACAGATCATCAAGCCCAGCTGGGCTACAGAGCAATTCCTGTTTCCTGAAGTTCAGCACCTAGGAGAGAATTGGCTGGATCACAGAAAACCCAGCCGGGGGTCAGCCTTTTAATCAAGTCCTTAGGAATGCAGAGGCAGAGGAAGTGTGTGGTGTTCACCCCTCAGGACCGAATTAATCCTGTTGCTCTGTTTTCCCTTTTCTGCTACTCATCTCCCCGCAAGTCAGGTCAAGTGCACCTTTACTAGCATTCATCCACTCATTCACTCACTCAGTCCTTCAACAAGGCACTTCCCTAAAAAGCAGGGAAGAGATCCCTAATAAATTCTAGTGAAAACGCAGCACCCACCACCATGCCAAACACTTTATCTGCATTGCCTCGTTATGGCCATTTTGGAGATAAGGAAACCAAGGTTCAGGAAAATAAAGCAGCTGCCCAGCCGCCCAGCACGAAGGGCAGAGCAGAGTCACATCTTGGCTCTCCAACTGCACTCTGAATTCCCACCAAGTCCTTTGTCCCCGCGCTGGAGGCACCACAGACACCTCCTGGACACAGCTGAGGCTCCTCCATCTTCGCTGTGTTGAATATCCCTGGATATTCAGATGTGTGCTAAAGTTCAGTGTCACACAGGGCCTCATGTGACATTCTCAACACCCCGCAGAGGAGAAAGCGGGTCAGGCCTCTCCACCACACCTGCCTTAGTCGCAGGCCGCCTTCCTTGCCTCGTTTCCATCCCCCCCCCTCAGGGCCCCCATGGATGGCTCTTTCTGCAGCCTTCCCCTGGCTTCACACACGTCGGTACTGATTCGTTTGTTCTACAACTACCGTGTGTGCTGCTTTAATACACCAACCAGAACAAGGCTGTCACCTTGACTGTGTAGACCAGCACTGAACAACACCATTTCCCTCAATGATGGAAACACACAAGTCCAAGCTGTGCGACGCGGCAGCCACTGGCCGCACGTGGCCCCTGAGGCCTGGGGTGTGGGTGGCTAGTGTGACTAAGGAACCAAATTTTCCATTTTAATTAAATTTAAAGAGCTACATGTGGCTAGCGGCTAACACACTGGACAGCACAGGTCTGGACTCTGGCTGAAGCACACACGAGCTGCTGTGGGACCACGGACATGGCACAGGTGGGTGGAGGCCACACAGACGTGGGAAAAACAGGGCGGTTCCCCGCCAGCCCCAGAGCCTCTGCACCTGCCGTGTGCTTTGACCAGAACACGCTTTTCCCTCATGTCATTCAGATCTCTGCTCCAATGTCACTCGCCCAGCGAGGCCCTCCCTGAGCAGCCTATTTAAAATGGGACACACACCCCTTCACCCTCCCCGGGTACCCCACTTTTTATTTGCCCCCAGCACTCAGAGCCTGACATCCAGCACCTCTTGCAGCCGAGTGCCCAGAGCAGATTACAGGTGCCATGTGGTGCTTTGATTTGGGGGGAGGGGCTTACTGGCTGCTGCATCCCCAGGACCTGGTCCTGGGCCCGTATTCACCGAGGAACTGAATGACGTCTGAATTCAGCTATGTGACAAGCATTTACTGAGTTCTAACTGGGTGCCAGCATGGGGTGAGTGAGATGAAGTCCCTCAAGGGGCACCCAGGCTGGGGGTGCCCACCTGATGCTGCTGCACAGTGGCAGCCGCCGTAGCTACGGCAGGAGCAGGGAGCCGTGGAACCCCTTCCTGAGAATCTTCAGTGGGTCCTCCTCATTGGAAGTAAGCAGTGAGGGGCAGAGATGGAACCTACTCCAGGAGGGGTTGCCTTGCCCCGCGTGTGGGAGGGAAGAGGAGACGCTGACTCAGGAAGCTTCCTCCGCTGGGTGGCACTGGGGCTCCCTGGCCCAATGCTCCATGAGCACACGGGAAGGGGGCTCTGTGAAGGCCTGCAGCATGCACGAGCAGAGGGCTGAGTGAGAGCCAGGACGATGCCCACTGCCACTGCGCGGGCTGCACTTGGGTTCCTGCAGCCCTTCCCCACACACCACTCCAGCTGCGCCCACAACAGCGGGAAACGGCAGTTGTCCTGTCTCCACGTGTGCAGGACTTTCTCAGTGCAGACCCCACGCTGCCCCAAAGCGGGCTCCAGCCCCGCAGGCGTGCTGAGGGGTGCTGCAGCAGGGGAGGTCCCCAAGGACCTGGAACAACTGGGAGATGGGGCCCACCAGGAGGGCAGCCAAAGCCACAGCCCCTGGGCAGCTGCGATGACACACACCAGTCCTCCCCCCAGCCCAGTACCTTCCATGTGCCCCCTCTTGTGTGAGCATGGCCCCTTGGGGCACACAGAAGACCCGTGCAGCTGGTCCTCACACAGCGGCTGGAGGAGGCCCTCCTGACAGTGGCTCAGCCTTTGCAGAAACAGTTCGGGGATGCAGCATCTCAGAGAAGCAGGGAGAAGGTGTCCCTGAATGAGCGAGCCCCACTGTCTGCAGGCCTGGCCCTGGGCTGGTGCCTGTGGGGAATGCAGCCAGTGAGTGTGGTGTCTGCCGCAGGAGGCAAGGACTGAAGAGGAAATGACGCCTCACGTCCAGATGACCGTGGTCCACCTTCTTCTCAGAAGTTTCCTCTTGGCATTTCCTTCCCCTCTTGCTCTCCCAGCC